CGATTCCGTCCTTGTCTTCTCCGAAGCTGCTTCCTCCTTTGCTCTTCCGCCATTTGGTATTACCTGCTTCCTCCCTCGGACTCACCGTCACTCCATTCGTCTCTTTCCTTTGTTTCTTTGTTCGCTCGCTCTCACATCTCCTATTTATCACATCGTTCCTCGCCTCCATAATTTCAAGTGCTTCCACCGCCTGTTTGATGCTCCGCGATGGAGGACGCCACGAACGCGATCCACGACGACGGCGTCAGCGCCGACACCATGATCGACAAGCTCCACGCCTCGCGCTCCGGCATCGACTCGGTCCTCCGCTCCTCCTCCGAGCTTGACGTGGCCATCTCCGGCTTCGACGGTCGCCTCTCAGTCCGACTCGCCGCCATCTCCGCCATCTATGACGCGGTGGCGCCACTTCACTCCCAAGCCGTCGCAGCCCAGGCCCTCCGCACCCGCATCGACCGCGCCGTCTCCCCCGCCCTCGCCCTTCTCCGCGGCTTCTCTCTCGTCCGGTCCCTCCAGCGCCGGCTACTCCGGCTCTCCCCTCCCGCGGCCGACCCCCGCCGCATCGTCGCCTACGTCGATTGCGTCGACAGCCTCCACGACGCGGTCGCAGGCGTCGCCGCTGAGTGCGAGCCAGCGGTGCAGCGCCTTCAGGAGGCGGTCGAGTTCCTGAGCCGGACCAAGGCCACGGACCGCCTCCGCCTCCACCGCCTCAGTGAGGCCCTCGCCGCCCTCCAGGCCCTCTACGAGGACGAGGTCGACGCCATGCGGTACGAAGGCCTCTTGGACGAAGCCCTTCTCCTGCTGCAGCACGAGTGCGAGTCTCTCCTTCTCCAGCTCAAGCATCACGCCTTTGGCGAATCTGATGGCCTTGATCTGATCCCGGAAGCGACCGACGGCTCTGATCTCCCCCATCTCGGCTCGTCTCTCCAGATTGAGGCCCTCCGGCGGATCGCCCAAACGCTCGCCGCCAACGATTGCCTCGACATCGCGATCGATATCTTCGTTACGGTAAGTATCCATGTCGATTCGAGATCGTTGACTGGGGAATGCCGTGTGGCCGGCGGATTAAGGGGGTGGGTGATCGCAGGTGAGGTACCGAAGGGCGGCGCAGGCGCTGATGAGGTTGAAACCAGAGTACCTGAGGACGTCCGCGCCGGAGGACATGGACGCGATGGAGTGGGAGGATGTGGAAGCGGCGATCACGCTCTGGATCCGGCACCTCGAGGTGGCGGTGCGGATGCTGTTCGCCGTGGAGAAACGGCTCTGCCACGACGTGCTAGGCGGATTGATGGGCGGCGCCGTGTGGCCTGAATGCCTCGCAAAGATCGCCGACCGGATTATGGCCGTCTTCTTCTGCTTCGGTGAGGGCGTCGCCCGGAGCTCGAAGCAGCCGCAGAAGCTGTTCAAGCTCCTCGACATGTTCGACGCGTTGGACAGGATGTGGCCCGATCTGGCGGCCGTCTTCGACGGAGAGGCGGGCGGCCAAGTCCGAGCGCGGTTCCGCGAGCTCCAGAAGCTCGTCGTCCACGCGGCGGCGACGGCATTCAGGGAATTTGGCCTCCGGATTGAGGGACTGCAGGACGGCGCACCGCCGCCGGCGGATGGGTCGGTGCCGAAGGTCGTCCGATACGCCGTCCATTACCTCAAATGTCTCGCGACGGCCGCGTACGCCGGACCGATGGGTCGAGTGCTACGAACAGAGCGCACCTGGAGACCGGAGCTGCCTTCGCGACCCCCTGATGCGGACGGCGACGATGAGGGGCTCCTCGGTGACGCAGTGCGCGGTATTCTGGAGGCGTTGCAGCGTAACGTAGAGGCGCAGCGGTCGAGGTACGGGAAGAAGGACCGAGTACTGCCCCACGTGATGGCCACCAACGCGTACTGGTACATGTACATGAGGACGAGGGGGACGGAGGTGGCGAGGCTGGTGGGGGAGGACACGATGAAAGCGAGGTACAAGACCGCGGCGGAGCAGGCGGCGTTCGCGTACCAGGAGGCAGCATGGGGGCCTCTGGTGAGGCTGCTGGAGAGGAACGAGGCGGCGGGGACGGCGAGAGCGACGACGGAGGAATTCATGAGGGGATTCGACGACAACCTGAGGAAGCACAAGAGCCTCTACTGCATTCGGGACGCCGACCTGAGGGAGCAGATAGGGGAGGCGGTGGCGAAGGCGGTGGTGCCGGCGTACACGGCATTCCTTCACGCCAACGCCGGGGCGACGGACGGGAGGGCGTTCCCACCACCTGACTCGATCAGGGAACTGATACTGCAGCTGTTCGATGCCGGAGGGGAGGAAAGGAGGAGGGAGGCGGAGGGGGAGAGGAGCTCCAAGGGAGAGCGAGTGAGCCATCGGAGGCGGGCAGAGGGACCGTGGAGTTCGGAGGCTCCTTCGCGTCGCAAGTCGCAACAGAACAAGTGATAAATATATTTGGTTACCTTAAATTTGTGAAGTTATATTAAACTCTAATATCTTCTCTCAAACGCCACGTATGAAATTATTAAAAATTAATTAAATATATTGAAATAGACTATCCTTCTAAATATGATATTATGATAAATATGTCTTTAAAAATCAAACACTTGCAAAGTGTCCAATTTATGTTAAGGCTTCTTAGATAAGTCTAATGATGTGATCCAATGAAATAATTAGTTTATTAAATCTTTAAATGTAACCTATTGATTTAAAATACTCAGGTCCAAATAAATAATAATATATCTATTACAACTCAATTTTTCATACATTCCGACTATTAAAATGCCTTCTTTATATAATTATATGTAAAAAGTGAATGGTATGTCTTATATATGTCATATGCTTTAGATGGAATGATATATAAATAATTTAACGTGGTATCATAGTAATTATATATATATATATATATATATATATATATATATATATATATATATATATATATATATATATATAT